GGGGGGAAGTTCGCCCAAAAAATTTCCATGAAAGAAAAATTTTCCGGTAGATTTTGAACTTTTGCTCTATAGGGTGTATAAAAACTGAACAGATTTAAAATTGCTTTCAATTTCGCAAAACACCTATTTGTATCCGGTTTTTTATATATATGGCCTCTTTGGGTATAATGTAGAATAATGAGAAAAATTTCTCGAACTCAAATTTTGTGAACCAGGTGGGTGTGTCTGTTCCAACAAACTAAAAATGGCTCGTGCACAAAATTTAAAAGCTGCGATCATATTTTGAGTTAACAGATGGAAAACTGGTCGGGCTTACTGTACAAAATTTCAGATAATTTGGTTTAGTTTAAGCCCCTTAACTATTCACGCAAAGTTACATTTTTCCTAAAAATCAGCTATTTGCATGCTTAATTAATGCATTTGCCTAATTTGCATATGTCAGCAATATGCAAATTAGGTAAAGGCATTAATTAAGTATGCGAAAGGCTGACTTTTTAGATTAAAGGGCTTAAACTAAACCAAATTGTCTGAAATTGTGTACATTAATTAACAACCCGACAAATTTTCCATTTATTAACTCAAAATATGATTACAGCTTTTAAATTTTGTGCGCGAGCCATTTTTATTTTGTTGGAAAAGACACCCCCCCTGGTTCACAAAATTTGAGTTCGAGTATTTTTTTTCATTATTCTACATTATAAGTACCCAAAGAAGCTATATATATATAAATCTGGATACAAATAGGTGTTTTGCGAAATTGAGAGCAATTTCAAATCTGTTCAGTTTTTTTTTATACACCCTGTATATAGGTGCCCTTGGTGTGCGTCTGCTCCCCTTTGCCTTATTATCGTTCCGGCGTCCCTGGTCAGATCGATGTAGGAAGTCTGCATTTAGGGGGGGGGCAAGGGTATTTTCGTGACTCGTGATTAGCAATTATTCGTGTTTCGTGATTCGTGATTTAAAGAAATACCATTCCGTGAATCGTGATGAATATGCGTGCCGTGAATCGTGAAGAGCTAAAAGGCTAGCTATGGTCTTGAATTTACAAATATTTTACCCTAACTTGTAAATGTTTACGTTTAAAACTCGGCCTAAATGTATATTATGGGGAAAAATTTATAAATTTGCTAGTTCCCGCAGTTGTCTTAGTTCTTGAGGTTTCTTCGTTTCATCGGTAAACGTCATTATCGTATACCTTCGTACCTCTTCGTAAACTTCGTGAACCATTGTACGATGCTCGTAATACCTCGCAATGATTTCCGTTGTCCTTTAAACGGCTCTAATGTTAAAGTCAGTATGTGTTAAATGGTTTCAGACTTTGTTACGCTTCTGTGTTTCTAAAAATCGTGAAAATGAAATTTTGTTTTCCGTGACTCGTGAAATCCCAAAATGATCTTCGTGATTTCGTGACGAGACCCCCCCC